CCTTTGGATTTTATTGCAATAAAAATGTTATTTTAGAGGAGGATTCTCCTCTCCATCAAACCCTACCTCAAATGTGTGATAGAAGTGTAGGTGGAGAGCCCAAACAGGGGATTTTAATATCTTCTCTTTGCTCTGCATGTATGTAGCCATGGCTAAAGATTAGTATAAAAAGACCAAAATGCACCCTGTGGTGCAGTAATGGGCATCCTAAGCTAGTAAATGGGCTGCACGAGTGGCCCTCCATCTCAGTCTTAACCACAGTCTTCCAGGATTTTACTAACTGCACTAAACATGCCTAGAATTTGTGTGGTGTGCCAACTGAACTGTAGAAGCGCTTTGGATGCAGGAGCACATGGCTCTCACAATCAATGCTCTGTGCAATCAGCATGCACCTTCCTTTATGCCCTTGCTTTATGTGGAGTAATAGTAGTAAGAAAAAAAAACTATGAGGATGGAAACCAGCAGAATCTGGCAACCCTGCACGTGGGCAATGGTAAACAAAATTTCTAGCGGGCAACGCATAGGACCTCTATAACTGCAGGTTGTCCACCACTGCGCTAGCATGCCACAGAGCAGATGGACTGGGGTGAGGGAAGGCCAGGGATTCGAGGGATTTTGCACAAAAAGGCGCTGTCTACACCGCACTTTTTTTGCGCAAAAACTTCTTGCGCAAAAGGGAAAGGAAGAGGAAATGCAAATGAGAGCGCAACATATACAAATGAGCACTCGATTTGCATTTGCTGTTCCGCAAGAGGCTCGTAGTGTAGAGCCTCATAGTGTAGACGTAGCCTAAGATGCACCATAGGCCCCACCATGGGTCTCACTACTGCCAGGGCACCTCACTCTAAGATGCAACAATGTTATCAGGCCAGGACTGAAACAACTCATTGTCCTAGAGACTGGACAGTGACCCTTCAACCCTATGATCATTTAACAGTTAATTTACACTACTGTTACAGAAGAATTTTGTTCTTTAAAGAAAACGTCATGTTCCACCGGAGCAGAGCTCAACCAACTGGAAGATGACAAGACATGCCATTGTTGTATGAGGAGAATAAATCTTGTCCCATCTGAGAAGTCAGCACAAAGTGTGTTTAATGATAACCTAATTCTAATTAACCTGTTCTTGGCGGAGAAGGCCAGCTTTTTCCCAAACAAACGCTTTTGAGTCCTCCATATTGGTTCCCTAATACTACACAAAGAATTCACCATTTTACACTTTAAAAGCAAAACCTGCAGCAGTTATCGTAGATTGAAATGTGGGAGGTAGACCATCAGTACACCAGCAAGGAGAGAGGGGGTGCTTCCCCAAATCAAAGAAAGGAATGAGAGCTCCCCTCAGCTTCTCTCAGAGAAGGACAGGCCATATTTCTCACTTCCTAATATCCCCTTTCCTTTTACCAGTGAACTATTTAGGATACCTGAGTGTCTTTTGGTTCACATCAGAAAAGGCAGCCTTAAGCAGATTGTCAAGCAAAATGACTGACTGGCTGGGGATGCGAATACATCACTGTACAGACAATCAATCAAAGATTTGAAGACTGTGCTGAGATTTTAAAGGCTGGTTTTACTTTTATGTTTGAACAAAACATAATAAAAATTCATGAAGAGTCAGACCACAGCTGCTTTGAAAATATAAAATCCTATATTTTCAGACAGTTACCAAAAATAAATAAATGGACATTTTCATATGGATGTCAACATTTTCAAAATTGTCCATAAAAATCCCTAAACAAAAAGAAAAAAAAATCACTTGAAATCAGAAAGGGATTTATAAGAAACAGGATCAATACAACATACATCTAAATAACATATTTGATTTCAATACATTCTTCTTGCATTCAGAAGTCCATAAAATTAAGTGGAAATCCATTAGTTTGTGCTGTTTAAGTGGAACCTGCAGTACTTTATTGTGGCTGTTTTTTCTTTTTCATAATCTGAGATTGCCTCAGCTCCTCAGTCCCATGAGCATATGGACAAGATTCAGAAGTCAGACAACAGCCATCAGGATGGTGAATGAAAAACCAACAGAGACGTGTTTTAAAAGCGTCTGCAGAAAATCTTCGTTTTACTTCTGGCTTGGTTCGCTTTGATATTTTCTCTTCTCTCCAGTCACGAAAACAAACTCTTCCATTTAGAACTGAGGGGTTAAAAAACAAACAAACAAAAAAAAAACCCCACACACAAATCATTATAACAATATCAATAGGACTATACTAGTCATCTGTGAATACAAATGGTTTTTTCATGAAAAACTAAAATGCACTGGGTAGATACTTGCATGGGAGTAGAAAAATGTATACAATTGAGAGGGTATATTAAATCTTCTTTGGAGCCTATATATGTTCCTACTTACTGGAGAATTCACTGTTATATAGAACAGTTTTAGGGCACTATTTGCAGTCTGTGTTGAACAGATCTGATTATAGATAGTAGTCAGAAATAGGATCTAAATGATTTCACAGGATATAGCAAATACACAACTGTACAAGTCAGGGCTACTCAATACATGGCCCACAGCCCATTTCTTTGCTGTTTGGGTTCATATGGAGCTCAACACTTGGCCCACGGATGAGAGCCAAAACAAAAAAGTAGTCAATATAATGGTCATCTGTTTATATGCATTTTAATAGTTAAATTCCTGGACTTTCATTGCTCATTAAAAGTGCTGTCATAAGGGTAGAAATCGGGTAAATGTTGCATTTTATTAATATCAGCAGAACTGACTTAAATGGGGCCTGTGTGTTGTGTAGTTTTGCCTTAATCTTTGTATTCATGCTGGTCAGTGTAAAAGAAGCTATTTGCATGTATATGCAACCACACTTAAGTTGCGTCCCTCAGCATGTGCTGAGAATATCATTGTGGCTTACAACGTTGAGTAGCCCTGATATAAATAATAAAACACTGTGTGTAGGAATATAGATGTACCTCTCAAAGAGCTGCAGATACCAGAAAGTAACATCCTTCTCTTTAAATGGCATAGATAGTACACAAATGTTGGGACAGCCCAACCCAAACAAGAGACAGAGTTAGCCCTGTAGTGATAACTCTTGGCTTCAAAACACCTGGCATGTAGTTATAAAATTTGTATCTGCATCAGAATGACAGTACACAAAGATGGGTCTGAGGATATGTGCAGATCTCCAGGGTTCTACAAATACATTAATCTATTGCTTTATGGGCATAGCATCGTTTGAATTTCTATGCCCTAGTTCAACTGACTAGGGGTGGGGTGGGGAATTTTTTTTAAGTTAGGGCCACTGATCCTCAGAAAAATCTGGTAGGGGCCACACACAAGTAAGCAAAAAAGAAAAACCTCATTGACCTGGCCCCTAAGTGAGAAGGAGGAAAAAAATAAAACTCAAAACCCTCACTGATATGGCCCCCAACTGAGAAATGGGGAAAGAAGAAGAAGAAGAAAAAAAAGATATTCCCCTCCTTTCTTTCACACTGTGTGCCTTCACTCTTCTCAGTGGGTATTAACTCTAACCCATCTCCATCTTGTTAACTCTAGTACTTTTCCTAATGATGGTCTCACAGTTCCACAAACAATAGCATTAGAAGGCACAAATGTTTATCAACACTGTGACATTAACACTTTTCAGTGCAAGGACTAAAATCATAGAAACTCATTGTGTAGATGTAACATTATCTAGGCTTTCATATTATTACTTGAGACTACTATGCATCTACTCATTTCCTCTCACTTCCACTCACTCCCTATCTTTAAAACAAAGATACACATATTCTGGCAACTTACAACCTTTCCACTGGTACCTGCTGTTTCACTGCACAATTGTCCAGTGACAGTTGATGCCCATATTTCTGCTAATGTGGCATTGCTGGACCCAGGAACTGAAAACTCTTTATAAAAACACCAACTTTATACAGATCTATGCACCAAACTTTTGAAAAATGTTAGTTAAGTAGTATTATTCTGCTGCTAGACATCAATGCTGCAAAAAACATCCTACAGTGACAGCAGCAAAAAGAAAACTGAAAAAAATCAACAGAACGTTAAAAAAAAAATTATTTTGCTAGTAGATTACTATTTTGCCAAGCTGCTGCAGCCTGTGTAAATCTGTCAAGTCTCAGGTAATTAGAGGCTCTTGTGTAGACCAGCTGTCTTATGTTGGCATTTTTCTCTGTAGTGCTAAGTCATAATGAAATGCTGCAGAAGACTTTCTTACTTTGCAACTGACTTCCTTCTACACTTTGACCGTTGTAGGGGCAGGGAAAAGGTTTTCTCCAATCTAGTCAAACTGTAGCCT